AAGAAATAATATCCGTTTATTCCTGTAAACTATTTACACATATGTTTACAATAACATTCTGTTTAACTTTTATCTAGTGGCAAAATAGATGAGCCCTAGTAGCGTAATATACTGGATAACATGGACACAACGTAACATAATCTATTGGACTTTATACTAATAGATATGAAGTTAGCATGTTCCTAGCTGAGAGAGAGCTTACATTATTATGCGTGATGCTAAATACCCTGATAACTTGATTTATGGGTCGAGATCTTAGATCATTGGTTGAATGGGATCATAGATTATTGAGAAAATTCATGTTCATTATATCGGCTTGTCAGGTTCTTGGATCGAGAAGTTCGAGTGTTTGGAGAACGGCAACATTGGTCGAAGGGATCGGCGATAGAGCACAGTTACATTACACTTTCTTAGGAAGGGAACAGGGACGGTGAACTCTCGGACTCCCAATGACCTTTTTGTCCTCGATTCAATCCTTTTATATCGGGGGTACTCCTCTTTGGTTTCGATGCCCTCTTTTTTTGCCATGTTACTATTTTTGACCAATGGTGAATATCTGTAGTTAGTTCCTGGTGACACATTCGATGAGTACCCTGGGAAAGAAGGTGACTCTGGGGAGAGAGAGAAAATCATCCCCTGTAATCAAAATTGAAAATTATTTTTGCTGGGATTTGAACCAATTTAACTTTCGAAAGACAAAAATTTTTTCTAAAAAATTTCATCAAACCCAGCTCTCACATTATATTAACATGAAGTATATTAAAAAAAAAGAGCCAGATGGTTATAAAAACAACAGAAACACTGTCAAAAACTTATTATTGATTACAAACACATGCATAACCCCCTTCATTTTTCTATGTAGTAACCATTTTTTCCCAAGCACTTTTAGTCCATAAAATAAGCTTCTATTGTGCTCCCTATATAAAGTTCTGATGCAGGTGAATTCAACTAGTCCAGCACTGCCATTTACAACTCCTCAGTTTCTTTCAATTGTTGAGATGCAAGCCACTTCTCTAAGTACAGTACTGGAAGAAATGATGGTCATTAGGTACAGTTCTGACCACAAGGTCAGAATTGTAAAGGGGGATAATCAAACAGTTCCTATCCAAATTGCTGAAGGATCTGAACAGTGGAGACAGTAGGGTATACATGTGCATTATTGTGCAAAAGAACAATTACTAATATCAGCATTCCATAATGCTGGTTCTGAATGGCACATCTCAGTTTAGAAAGTGTTCAATAATATACCTTCACTAAGATTGCTGTTCCTAGTTTCATGAAATCTACCAAAAAGCATGCCTTTTAGAAAACAATTTTAGAAGATCATAGAACACAAGTGTCTTAATCTTTCTGATAGATCAACTTTACTTGAACTTTTTTGCCTTTGATGAATTTGAATGACATTTCTGCATGGATTATATTATTATTAGACTCAACATTGGTGTAAGAAATCCAAGTTTCATCACAAGTTACAATGTAGGAAAAGAAATATCCTCCTCTCTCTGGTAGTGGTCTAAAACTGCATATGTAGATGTTATTCTGTGGTTTTTGTGAGCAATTGTCAATGATTTCAGTATTACAGCGAAGAGCCTATAAAGTAAGGTCAATTCCACTAGTGATAATTATGTTTTATACTTGTAAATAAATATTCAGTAAGACTTCAAAAATACCTGTTGTATTTTGTCTTTAATATTGTACAAATATATTTTGCCTGAATTTTTAATCTTTAATTTATAAAATAAAATTACTATACTGTTTATGTATAGTGAGGTTATTTATTTTAATAAACTGGTCATTTACAATGTGAAACTTAATCATGAAAAATAAATTAGAGTATAACAACTTGAAGACAATTAACTTAGACAATTAACATTGTCAATGGCAGTGTGAACATTGAAAATGAGAGCATAAATGCTTGCAATTGGGAGTAAAGCTAGGCAACAAATTCTAGTTGCTCATGTTCAGATAAGTAAATTTAGTTAAGAAAAAGCACATAGGATCAAATCTCAAATATTTTATCATTTTATACATTAAGAAAGTTAAAATTATAAATTTTATTTTTTACTTTTATCACATTTTATCTTTTATAATGAATACCAGCTGCAAAATTTCTGGGTTTTATTGATTTTGAAATTAAAAAAACATGTTGAAAAAATTAAAAAATGTATAAAATGATGATTTATTAATTAGTAATAATTTGTCCAATGTATAATTGAAATAATGAATATCATAAATTTAAACAAACAGATTAATTTCTAATTATAGGTTTCTTTATTTACTCTTTTTAATGTTCAGTTATTATCAGAACTGCAAAGTCCCAAAGTAAGTACAATACTGGATTTACTATACAGTAGATCCCCCTATAAAACCGTTTCCTATAGTTATGATTCCTATAAAAATTGTGGCAGTATCCGTAAACAACGGTAAAAATAACTCCTATAATACGTAAAACGTCATCGGGCAGCCGAACTACTTTCCCGCCGTCCGTAGCGCCACGCTACGGACGTTTAGGCGGATAAATTGAGTTTAGTATCGTCTGTTCATATAATTATATATAAATTAGGTACTGTACATATAATTATATATTAATTATATATAAATTAGGTACTGTATATATAATTATATATTAACTTAATTTATTGTAACTTTATTATAATTAAATATATATTTTTCGCCGTCTAGCGTCACGCTACGGCGAGTTAGGCGACCTATCGTCTGTCCAGTACTGTAATTTTATACATTTCTTGTGAAAGAAACATTTCTTATTTAACGGCCATAAAAATTATTTATATTAAGGATGTCTCCAAAGGTCAACGAAGTTTTCGCAGAAAAATAATATCAGAAATCGCGGCCGCGGTTTGATGCGCTGTTCCGCGACGAAACCAAGCTTTAGCAACGGGCGTAGTCGAACGGTACACACTCGGTAAGCAATCCTACAATTTTTTGTTTATAACGTAGTTTATACGGATTATTTTCAAAAAAATATACGTATTTTGGAAATGTTGAGTCGAATTAGTCTAGAATCGATTAATTTTATGAAAGAAAACCTTTCAAACAGCCGTAGTCCGTAAACTATGATTCCTACAAAATTGATTTATAAAGAACGGAACGTATCTACCGTCTTATAGGGGGATCTACTGTATTTTCATATTAACATTTTCTTATTTTCTATGTTATTTGGTCAACTTTATAATTTCAGAAATTGTTTTTAACTAGAAAAACTACTAAAATGTAATTGATAATGCCAAAGACAGAGTCAACTGATACTATTTTAGGAAGTAAATTATCATTAAATAGGCAAGAGTTTGTTTTTGCTTTATAATTAATTGGTTTCTCCTTTCTTCATTTAATTAATTATTTCATAACAGAATCAGGATGCTGTCTCACATGACATATTTTAAAAATCACAAATTATTTCTTGATATTTAAACATTACATATATTAGAACAGTTATCTAAAGATTTATAGTTCAAATCCAAAATTCATTAGATGTCTTTACTACACTTGTTGATTTGGAAAATCAATGAAAAAGTCATATTTCTAAGTAAAGTGTGATGGTTTTCATAAATTTCCATTCATGCAATTTTTTAATATTTATATATTGAATCAAATACATGATTATTTTTNTTCATAAATTTCCATTCATGCAATTTTTTAATATTTATATATTGAATTTGTTAATTTATAAATAATTTTAAAAACTATGAATAATGCCATTATAAAAGTAATTGTTAAACTTGAATATAACATACATCAAATGACTAATAAATTTTAAAATATCGTAATAGAAAAATTTTTGATATTTTGAATTTTTTAAATATAAAAAAATTCAACATATTATTTTTTCAATAATTTAACTCAATATCTCTTATTAAAATATTAATTTTAGAAACGATGTTAAAGCTAAAATCTAAATATATAAAATTACTTGTCCTGACTGACTGATTCATCATTGCCCAGAGCAAACCGCTGAACCTAAAGAGGTGAAATTTGGTACACAGTTAGGGTATGTCATGAAAACGCACACTAAGAAGGGATTTTTCAAAATTCCTGTGGGGTGAGAGGGGGAGGATTAAGACTTAACCAGAAGAACGGCTTCTACTGTACTATTTTAAATGCAATTTTTTGTTTTTATCTGTGTGTTAGTAGGGTATGCCATGGGAATGCATACTAAGAAGGGATTTTTCGAAATTCCCCCGCAGGAGAGAGAGGGAGAGGATTAAGGCTTAACCAGACAAATGGTTTCTACTGTACTATTTTAGATGCAATTTTTTGTTTTCAACTACGTTTAATTTTCATTGAGTACTGTACTTAGGGGTATTAAACTGATAACATTTCAGACATTGTTATAAATATTTTTATATATTTCAATTTTTTAACCAAATGTTTGAACTGTTTTAAATTTGAATTTGTTATTGCATATTGGTTCGATTATAGAACGATTGTAAAAGTTCCAGAAAATTGATCAAATTGAAAATAGTTCGTTTGATTCTTGGCAATTCTCATCATTCTCAGCGGTAGGTGTTATATAATAATTATTATGGTTGTTGAATTACTGAATATAAATGGGGTTTGCTTGCAAAATCCTCGCAGGCAAAGCCACAGGTAACAGCTAGTATTGATATATACAGTACTGCATATAACATATAATATGTATAATATAAAATTAAGAATTAATATTTTATAAATTATTTTAATTTATAGTTGATTAAATAAGATTGTAATTTTATATAATGAATTTAAAATCAGTATGATTGTAACTAAATATAAATTATATATTTTTCAACTTTTAGTATTAAAATAATGATTATAAATTTTAATTATTCTATTAATTTTTTATTGCTGTTATTCATGTTAAAAATATTCACTTTTATTATAATTTATATTATCATTCAACATCAACCTCTTTTTCTATAAATAAATGTTTACATCAAAATAACAAATGTAGTTTTGGCTGGGTGCCAAAATTTTTCACTTCTATCTTTTGATTATACAATGTTCACAATTTGAATTAGTAACCTTGTATTTTTCTAAAATCAATACTATGTGATATTCTAAACTAAAATAAAGAAAAAAATTATAAAATGTAATTAAAAAAAATACAATAATCATAAAAATTTTATTGAGAGTTTCAGATAAGCTTAATCTGTTCTTTAAATAGCTATAAAAAATAATGCATTTTACTTAAAACTCTTCTGAAGAAATTTACTTCCTGAAACAAAAAATCTTCAAAAAGATGTTTAACTGACTTTCTCAAATTGTACTTTTATTTTTTTATTATTAATTTTTAAAATTATTGTGAATTTATCATATATACATTTAATCTGTTTTAATGAATTTGTTTATTATGAAGTGCAAGATAATTCTGAAATATTAACATAAATATATAAAATATTTATAATTTTTTAATCTTCAAATTGTAAATATTCAGATTAAAAAGAATTCAAAATTTTGATTTGATTAAACAAAATAAAATTATATCAAATCAATTTATTTATATAATTATATGCATTTTAAACTACAATAAAATTATTTTTAGATTAACCTTATTGTAAAAAATAAATTATTATTATTATTTTATGAATTATATGTATATATTTTCCAAAACATACTTAATTTGTATCTTTCTAAAAAATTTAGCATCATACTTTATAATAGTCCCAACATTCCAATAAACTATAAATTTCTGTAACTTTTTATAATTATGAATAAATAAAAAGCTTGAGTAAACTATAGTTCATACTCTTCTCAAAGGTAAATATTTGATTATTATGTATTTGTAAAATGATTAAATTTTCTGTCATAAAACGGAAAGAGAAAATTTATGTAACAAATAATCTACAATACGTTTGTTTAAGTACATGAAAAGATTAAAAATTTATTTGAAAACTATAGGATATTTTAAATTATTTTTAAGCACTTAACTCTCACAACAGTTAAGAGCATAATTGGCAAATGATTATAATAAAATTTTATTTTTTTCATTTTTAAAGTCAACACACCTTACTACTGAGAAAGCACATTTATTAAGCTAAACAAACGTTTTCAACCGATTTCATGGGCCATCATCAGGTTAAAGACGTTTGAATGAATGGCTTTTCGAACATGTTCAAATTTAAAGTATATTAGAATATACATTGAAATAAGATAAATACATTTGTATTTTATTTTGTTTTCCTTGTTTATTGTATTAATTTAGTTACTTAATCTTATTTCAACGTATGTTCTAATATAATTTAAATTTGAACATGTTTGAAAAGCCATTCATTCAAACGTCTTTAACCTGATGATGGCCCATGAAATCGGTTGAAAACGTTTGTTTAGCTTAATAAATGTGCTTTCTCAGTAGTAAGGTGTGTTGACTTTATAATGTTAAAGAATCTGAGTGTGAATAGGAGAATAAAATTTTATTAATGTAATATAGGATTTAGTATTCTCTATAAAAATTTTGTGACATTAAATTTATAGATAATTATAAAATTAATCAAACAATGATAACAAATTAACAATATTAAATAAAACATTATTTCAAACAATATTATATACATAAATACATGCACGTAATTTTTAATAAATTTTTTGATAATTTTAATAAGTAACATAATAATCAAAATAATGATAAACTTTCAGTACATGACATTTAAAAAAAAAAAATTCAAATTTGCTTTCATTTATTATACCACCAATATTCTGTTTAATGAAGTTGAGAAAAATAAACATTATTCAAGGCTGTTAAATGATGGAAGTTAATGGAGTAGAAATTGTATGATGAAAAGTCATATCTTTGAGAAAGATGTGATTTTGCATCATACAACTTTTAATTATGTAATCTTGCACTCTGAACCAATTATGATGTGTAGATAATGAAAACAAACAAAAACAAATGTCTTCAAACTCCTTCCGAGTTCTTCATCAGGATTTTAACAATTCCTCAATAATTCTTCATTTTGGAATAATATTTGAACAAGAGTTTGAAAGTATATATATAGTTATAAGTTCAAAAAAATTATTAAAGCCACGCCATGCCTGTGCAAAGAGTCATCCAACTGGGACTCAATGAACAGCTAAACCATGTTGTAATCAACTCTTGCCAGGACACTGACAAAACCATTTCCTCTTTATAATTTATGCACGTAGAACCATCAAAGAATCATTAAAAAACCTGATGAAGAACTTGGAAGGAGTTCAAAAATGTTTGTTATTGTTATCTACATACCGTAATTAGTTCAGAATGCATGATTAACTATATTCCAGTGTGGTGAGTGGTTGTTTAATTATGTATTGAGACAACCCAGAAAATATTAGATGTCTTCTCTGTCTTTGTTGATTAACAGCTTCTACATTCAAGATTTATTAACAGAACTATAAATGCAGTTGCAATAATCATTTTATATATATACATTTTGATAACTTTTAAAGTAAAGCATGTTTAATTGAAATTAAACATGCTTTACTTTAAAAGTCCTAAAGAACAATTACCAAAATTTGACTAGAGACAGTGCACAATTTTATTATATTACTAGAATTGAGGCAGTGTTGCATTTTTATAATTAAAAATTTTTTAATTAGTATTAGTACATATAAATTATATTTTGCTTCATCTAACCTCAATACTGATACATACTTGAATGTGTTTGTAAGGGTTTGCTTGTATCAATGTGTATGAGAGTGAGAGAACATGTGCATGCAAATCAGAAGAAAATGGTTACTTTGAATGAAATTTTAATAAATGAAAATAAATAAATAAATGATGATAAAATTATTTTCTGTTTAATTGTTGCCAAGTTTATTTTATTATTATTACTGGACAAAGGAAATTAATCATAAAATAAAAACTATATCGTATTTATTTATTTTTATGTTTAATTTACATAATTAAGATAGCTCATAAACACTTGCAATCAAATTACAGGGTAACCAATAAGTACAGGGGTAAATGGATTTCCACATTTGAGAATTTAAAAAAACAAAGCAAAAAGGTAATATCAGCATTAATTTCAATTTTGTTAATTATCATTTTGAATTAATTTAATAGGTATTAAATAAAATTATTAGGCCCCAAAAATTTAATTAAAAAATTATTGTAAATGTTAGTAAAAGATAGCAGTCTAACCCCCTACCTATAAAAAAATTATTTTATATTAATTATTAATAGTTAGCTAAATTAGTATGAATAATGCAGAAATTAATATAATTATTATAGAATATTTTGGTTTGATTGTTATTTATATCTATGATTTGTTAACAGAAATGAAACAGAAGTAGTGATATTTGAATGCTTCAGATGGAAACTTCTGAACTGTATACTGGTAATTATCTTGCTTTTAATGCTGTCTCAGAGGTTATGGAATATGGAGTGGGTTGATTATATAAAGGTTTTAAAACTTTATATACTCAACATATAATGCCAACTATTACTATAAAGAAGAAATTGTATATCTGGCATTGTATGTGAGTATATAAAGGTTTACAGTCATGGAAACTGCAAAGCAACAGACAGTACAATTCTTCCTTATAAGGTTTAATTTTCATTCCTGCAATTTTCTGCAGGTTATATACTGCTGCAGATTATCCATATGAAATTTGGTAGAAGAAAGAAGCAATGAAGATGTGGAAGAAATAAATCTTGTCAAGGACAAATATCCTGTTTTCCCTACACGTAGAAATTCAGAAAAGGTCTGGAGCTATTAAGCGGCTTTCTAGAAATAACATCAATTATAATACAAGATGCTTTTGAGGTGGTCAACAGCATGAAGAACATTTTTGAGCAAGAAGCAATGAATCATCAAAGGCAAGCTGGTGTAACAGACTTTTTTCACTAATATTGTCAATGTTTTGTTATTTTGTACAAATATTTATTTAAAAAATAATAAAATGTAATTTATTTAAAGTCTAACTATAGTGTTTGTAAATATCACAACACAATCTCATTAAAATAATGGCAGTTTCTGTAACTCAAAAAATTTTTCATGTCACTTCCACTGAGTTGTCAAGTACTATTACTACTGTATTACTATTACTTAATTAATACTGTACTTCTGTTACTTAACTTATTTAATGATTCAGTGTAAACATGTTTGATTTCTTAAAAATTAATATTTATAAAATTATATGACTACAAAAACATTTATTTAATTAAAAAATTATTGTAAATGTTAGTAAAAGATAGCAGTCTAACCCCCTACCTATAAAAAAATTATTTTATATTAATTATTAATAGTTAGCTAAATTAGTATGAATAATGCAGAAATTAATATAATTATTATAGAATATTTTGGTTTGATTGTTATTTATATCTATGATTTGTTAACAGAAATGAAACAGAAGTAGTGATATTTGAATGCTTCAGATGGAAACTTCTGAACTGTATACTGGTAATTATCTTGCTTTTAATGCTGTCTCAGAGGTTATGGAATATGGAGTGGGTTGATTATATAAAGGTTTTAAAACTTTATATACTCAACATATAATGCCAACTATTACTATAAAGAAGAAATTGTATATCTGGCATTGTATGTGAGTATATAAAGGTTTACAGTCATGGAAACTGCAAAGCAACAGACAGTACAATTCTTCCTTATAAGGTTTAATTTTCATTCCTGCAATTTTCTGCAGGTTATATACTGCTGCAGATTATCCATATGAAATTTGGTAGAAGAAAGAAGCAATGAAGATGTGGAAGAAATAAATCTTGTCAAGGACAAATATCCTGTTTTCCCTACACGTAGAAATTCAGAAAAGGTCTGGAGCTATTAAGCGGCTTTCTAGAAATAACATCAATTATAATACAAGATGCTTTTGAGGTGGTCAACAGCATGAAGAACATTTTTGAGCAAGAAGCAATGAATCATCAAAGGCAAGCTGGTGTAACAGACTTTTTTCACTAATATTGTCAATGTTTTGTTATTTTGTACAAATATTTATTTAAAAAATAATAAAATGTAATTTATTTAAAGTCTAACTATAGTGTTTGTAAATATCACAACACAATCTCATTAAAATAATGGCAGTTTCTGTAACTCAAAAAATTTTTCATGTCACTTCCACTGAGTTGTCAAGTACTATTACTACTGTATTACTATTACTTAATTAATACTGTACTTCTGTTACTTAACTTATTTAATGATTCAGTGTAAACATGTTTGATTTCTTAAAAATTAATATTTATAAAATTATATGACTACAAAAACATTTATTTAATTAAAAAATTAATCTAAAAAAGTTTTACATATAAAATTTTTTATTGCATCATTTATTGTTAAGAAGGTTTCTTAAATTAATCAATTTTTCAATGTAAAAATGAACAATAAAATAGAAAATTTTTTGTTCAATAATTGCTAATACTATTCAAAATCATCATTCAATTTGTTAACAATAAAAATTTTTAATTCATACTTTTCCAAATAAATTAAAACAAAATAGAAAAATTTATTACAATTATTGATTAATAATAATATTTAAATTATTGTATTTTATTAACTAATTTAATAAAATAATCAAAATGTCATATTTTTTCTAAATTTAAAATTTAGTTAATTTTATATATTAAGTTTATTAAATTAATTGATGATAATGCTGGTTAAATTTTATTTTTTAATAATAATATTAAATTAGTTCATGAGTACACATTTTCATAAAATTGCTTATTTACAAGATTTTATTTCATAAAGGAAAGGAAAATATGAGGAAAAAAATAAAAGTTTTAATTTTATACAATGCATCAAAAGAAATATATTATAAAAAATAAATTAACTTGGCAATTAGTTTTGTAATGGAAAATGTTTAAATAAGATATGTTTGAAGATAGAGTAGAAACTCTATATTCAAACATTAAAATATTCATTATATATTAAATACTTGTAGTAATTTTAACACCTTCAAAGCACAAATATATATATAAAATACAATAAATTAATTATCATAAATTTGAAAAACTATAGCTAAAATGTTAGCATATTTATCATCATAAAAATAAAAATACAGTAGACCCTCCCTATAAAGCGGGTTCATATAATGTGGATTCGTATATCGCAGTGAAAAAATTGCGACCATATTTGTATAAAGATGCTAAAAGATACTCGTAAAATGAGGTAAAATGTCATTGCCGACTCGTGTTGCGACAGGATTGGTTGAATCTAGACCAATAGTGAACGAGCAGCCGAACTACTTACACGCTATAGAGAGTTTAGGCGGGTAAGTTGAGTTTACTATCGTCTGTACAGTATGTAAATTAGGTACCGTAAGTCTAATACAGCACTAATTTTATATATTTCTTGTGAAAGAAACATTTCTTATTCAACGGCCATAAAAATTATTTATATTAATGATGTCTCCAAAGTTCAACGAATTTTTCGCAGAAAAATAACTTATCAGAAAACATGGCTGCCGTTTGGTGCGCTGCTGCGCAACGAAAACAAGCTTAAGCAATGGCATCGTTGAACGGTGCACACTCTGTAAGTAATCCTACAATTTTTTGTTTGTAGCATACTTTATACAGATTATTCCCAAAAAATTATACATGTTTTGGAAATCTTGAGTGAAATTAGTCTAGAATCAATTAATTTTATGGAAGAAAACTTTTCAAACAGCCATATTCCGTAAACTGCACATGTGCCGGGCTGTGATCGGCTCATGTATTTGAAGATTCCTACAACGCGAAATTCTTATAAAGCGGAACTTATCTACCACGTTATAGAGGGGGGTCGACTGTAGTTCACAGATTCAAACTAGTAATTAATAAAAACAAACAATATACAAGTTGGACCAAAAAATAATTAAGATGTATTTTAAGAAACATATAATGAGATACTTAATATAACAGTTATATTAAGAATAGTTAAAACCAGTTTGGAATAGCTGTATGTTGTCATTTGTACTTCAGTTGCTTAGGGAAGTTGGTAAATCATGAATAAAAACATGCAACCATTCAAAATCAATATCAACTATTCTTAATAATAATGTACAGTAAGACCCTGCTTAATGTGGAGGATGCTTTCCTAGACCACAAAGCGCTAAACAAAATAGTATTAAATGAGGTCATTTTAACACAGAATAAATAGGAAAAGGGAAACACGTGACCAAAAATAAACATATTTTAATTTAATTTTAAGTTATTTTTATATTAATTTGCATAATAACATATGTTAAATAACACAAACATGCTTTGTGCTTGTTTATATAGAAGTCAACCAACAGATTTAACCAACTACAAACTTCTCTATTTGACAGATTTACAACATCCAAAATCCTGTGACTTCTTTCTTTTAAGAGTATATTGAAGGTACAGTACATGCATGCAGTTGTTGCTAACTTCATGGATGTGAGCATTGCTGCTTGAAACTATGGGTTTAAATTGACACTTTACCCTATTCTCAAAATGTGATTTTGGATATGGGAAGAAACTAAGTTGCACAGTAAGCAACATATATCACTAGATTGATAAGCCACAACAATATGTTATGAGGATATGCAACAAGTCTGGACCCATCCTGAGAAAATGGTTTCTCTAAAACTGTTCCAAATAAATACATTTTCAGTCTAGGTATTAATCTAATTAGATTCAATCTTTGGAATCACTTTAAAACTTGTATTCAAAACATAAAATTATGAGTAAAATTGAACTTTAGACAAATATTGCTGGATGATGATACTGATTCTAATTTTTTTGAAAAATTAGTGCAAAAAGATTCTAAAATATAATTCAGCATAAAAGATGTACAATAATTGATCATCAAATGTTATAATGCCCACAGAAAAATTTAATTCTATAAATAGACATTGCACAAGTTTAAATTTCTTCATTCTTGAGACCTGAGATTATTCTAATCTGCATAAAAGTTCACATTTTTCAACAAGTTCATATATCCATATAATATGTTATCTAACCCTTTTTTCTAATGCTCTTTATGAATACTCACTCTTTTTGTGTTTTTATTCTTATGCAATGCACAAATTTCAGAGAACCAAAATTTTTATATTGTTATTTAAAACATTTTCATATATCTTCTAAATTTTATTTTGCAAATATTTCAAGCTTAATTTTATTTCAATTTATAAAATAATAGGTGAAACATTAAAATTTTAAGATTTAAAAAGGTAGTGATGAGAATTGCTGTATTTTTCTGCCTAATAGTTAAAATCTCACTCGTGAAAATCAGGAATTTTGATGACCCATATGGACTTAATCCTGGAGACAGGACAATGAACACATTTTCTGGGTCTATATGACCTAGAAACTAGGTCAATTACTCACTCTAGCATCTATGTATTCAATAAACAAAAAATTATATTTAGCTTTGAACTCCATAAAATTTAGTACCAACTTCAGCCACTAAACCTATCAAACATATGGGTGATGGATGAAGAAAATTAGGTGTTGTGGAACAGACCTTAAGACAGTTTATGAATTAAAGGGCTGTTATTTAATTAGATTATTAGAACTAATATATAACTATGTTTTATATAAGTCAGAGCCACACTGAACAGTTTTGGCACACAATTCAACATTAATTACGAAAAATTCTATGGGCTTTTAATTCTACTGGTTTATTTTGATGTATCCAAGATCAGCACTCAGGACATATGCCCACCTTAGTTATATCACGGATCTAAGTATTAATTATCTCAAGTATTAATTCACAAGATTCAACTCAATTGGACAGAACTTGAAAGACACTGTTGAAATTTAAAGATTTTCTACCTTTGTCAAAGAGTAGTTAAAGTTTTATTGAGAGTTAATGTACGTACACTATCAAGCACTTACATAATTTAATATTAGACTTAAAATTTTTATACTCTATTATTAATTTTTAAATCTTAAATGTTCAAAATCAAAACATAAGAGGTACAAAATAAATAAAAACATAAAGAAAAATAAATAAGATATACAAATATGATAAATAAAAAATCAAATAGATAGATAACAAAAACAGAGAATATCAACATTATATAACTTCAAAACTTCAAACTTTTTCGTTTTTTGAAACCGTGTTTCCGTATTTATTTACTGTTGAACACAAGACTGTGTTATTATTAAAACACTTGGCATTTATCCACTTTATTCAGTTGATGCGAGTACTTT